TTCGGCGCTTCCGAGGTAACATTCCTCTCTCTGTTTTATTTTCCGCAATGTAGAATAAAAACTGCCATAGCTGATTACATTCTTTAACTGCTTGACTCAGATACACTGACACACTGTGCACTGTAGTTGATCGCAACCATACTGGCAACTGATATCTGTTTGAGGCTGACATGTGCACACACTGTAGTTTATTGCAATCACATCGATACCCGATATTTGTTTGAATCTGAAAAACTTGCATGCATGCTATATTTGTACCGAACCATGCCAACACGTTGACACATCACACGTTGTAACTCACTATAAGCACACCAGCACCTGGGATCTGTTTGAATCTAAAAAAACTTGCACGCATGCTATATTTGTACTGAATCCTGAATGCCCTTCAAAACTAGTATATTCAGTATTGCCTCGTAATTATTTGTTTGAAAACAGGGGGATTCCTATACCGTCCGCGGGTATGGGAACATTGCCGCTCAGGACTGCTATGCTGAGCTTCCCGACGCGGTTCGCCACATTGTGGACCAGGCGGGCTTCGGCGCTTTCTGCCGGGGATTATCCAGACTCACGACCTGCAGGCCTTTGCTCGCAGCTCTAGTGGAGAGGTGGTGGGACACCACCGACTCATTCTATTTATCTGCGACGGGAGACATGACGATGACTCCCTATGACTTCTCGATGCTCACTGGCATCGGGGTAGGGGGTGATCCGATCCCCTTCGACACTGATATGGGCGAGTGGACTGCCGCTCAGATCTATCTGCTTGGCGAGGTGCCACCTCTCACTCGTCCGGGCTTTGTTCGTTATTCCTGGTTCGAGGTGCAGTTTAGGGTCCAGCCCGCGTTGGTGGAGGAGGCGCAGATGACCCAGGAGGCCGTGGAGAGATATGCCCGCGGCTTTCTCATGTTCTTGCTGGGGACGACCATTTTCGCCGACCGGGCGAACACCGTGCCCCTCTGCCTGCTTAGTGCACTGGTGGATGTCAGGCAGGTCTTGCACTATGATTGGGGTGGCGCCGCTCTGGCCATACTCTATGGGTATATGAGCTCGGCTTCCCGTGGCAGCGGACAGTTGCTTGGAGGCTACTGGCGTGCTTGGGAGGTACGTTTCTTCTCTACTTTTCATTTCTGCTTTTCTATCTTCTGTACTTTGTACTGTATTCTGTATTGCACACTGTAGTCTGCTTTTCACTAACTGTATACTGCACACACGGCGCACACATATACTCTGCTTTACACTGACTATACACTGCTCACACTGTACACTGTACACAATACACAATACACTGTCTGCGCAACACACTGTACAACATGTGGCCCTGTTATTCCTGTTTTATCTTGCATTCTGCTCTTATTTGATAATCATATTGATGTTTTCTCTGCAGTTGTGGGTCTATGCCTACTTTCCCAGGCTCGCACCTGTACTAGACACGGAGACCCCCCTCGTTGTCCCGTTCTCGCGACGCTTCGACGTGAGATGTGTACGGAGGCCACGAGAGGCATTCAGCTTCTTTCGCTGCTACTTCGACACTATCACCCCTGCCGAGGTATGTTTTATTTCAGAATTTATATAAGCTTTTCTTTTCACTGCATATTTCAATAACGATGGATAACAAACTATATGTCACTTTCAGATCACTTGGCGGCCTTAGGCTCCGTTGCCGACGACGATTCGGGATCGATTTGCCGGTGCTGAGGAGACCTCGCATTTCCGGATCCTACTGGAGGGGCCGGTCTGTCGGGCTTGGTACCTGGGTGAGCGTTTCCTACGCCAGACCCTAGGGTTACCGGAGCAGATAGTCCCGGTTCACCCTCCTGAGGACATGAGGGAGACCGAGAGACTTACTACCGAGCAGATGGCCGATTATACTATCGGCTGGGAGGCGACCCGCTTCAGAGGCGTCGGTGACTACAGAGAGTACGTGCAGACGTACATTATGCGGTCTCTGAGCGGCGGCTGTCGAGCTGAGGGAGCTAGGCCCGTGGCGCCGGTAGCTAGGGCAGGAACGGGAGCTGGAGCAGGAGCTTCGAGGAGGGCTCGAGTTCGTGGCAGGGGCGGAGTTCAGGGAGGACGGGGGACCGGTTGGCCTGCTCTGCCCACTTCACTGACATACAAAGGACAGGGTGGGGCGACCTACCAGATCCCCTTTGCTCCTCCCCCGGCTGATCATGAGTTAGCCAGTATCCCCGACTTGCCTCCGGTATGTATTACTTCATTTTGCATCTTGCATTGGCATTTCATTTCAGTTTATTTGATATTCCGCGGAATACTGATATATCTTGTATTTTTGCAGGCGTCCTCCGAGTACACTCGGCAGTCCGTGGAGCTGAATGCCTCCATGATGGGGATGCTACAGCGGACCTTTGACCTCCTGGCCCTCTACAGTATTCCGGTATGCCCTTCTGATCACGGCCTCAAATCACTCACAAGCTAATTCACGTAATCTGATGCACGACACGACATCTGACACACTAATCTCATAGCATCTGATACACTGCATACACTGTATTCTGTACTGTACTCTGCACTGATAAACTGCTCACGACATTCACACACTGTACTCATACACCGCGTCATCCTGCACTGATAAATTGTCCATGGCATTCACACACTGTACTCATACACTGCATTCTGCACTGACAAACTGTCCGCAGTATACTGATGCATTTGCCTTTTATGTACTTTTTCAGCCTCCCTTCCAAATTCCCGTTGTAGGAGGTGCTCCAGCTGGACCTTCTGTCCCTGCCCGAGGGAGAGATGAGAAGGGCAGAGTATTCCCCCGCACCAAGGCGGGGCGCACTCATGTCAGGAGTAGTTCGCGGGCTCCAGTCCCTGATGATGATGATGATGAGGAGGAGTCGGAGGTGGTGGCAGAGTCGGAGGCGGAGGCAGAGTCGGAAGCGGAGTCGTCGTCGTCGGAGACCGGAGGCGGCACTAGCTCGGGCTCTGATGACGATGCTGATGATGCTCCTGGACCTTCGTCCAGGAAGAGGACTAGGACAGACCGATAGCCCTCGGAGCCGCTTGACATGGCTATAGATTTTTGTTGTTTTTCTTCTTTCTTGTACTTTTCCCTTTTGTTGGTAGTTAGGATACTTTGTACTGCCGCAAGCGGATTTTTGTTTCCAAAACTTGTGTACTTGAAAAGATGATGAAATGACACAGGCTTTTTATCTGAAAAAGTGTTTACATCCGTATATCTTTACGTTTCATGCTTTGCATTGCATCACACCATATTACACCTCAATGTAAATGAAATTGATTGGTTGTCTGAGAATTGAACACTTGCACTGTAATAATCAGATAACTAAACAGCCAACAGCAAAAATAACCCAAGCAACCCACTGCCTAATTCTGGACACACAGCCCTTACTCTACTGGGGATTAATCTGTATACAGTCCGCAACACAGCATTTGGTTCATTTTGCACACAACAAATCCTGAACAAGCAGCCCAATCTGACAAGACGGACTACGGGGATGAAACTAGCTGAAGTTGAAGCACACTCAGATGCCCCAATTTTTTGTTCTTTTACTTCGCACAGATGTAGAGAATGGCACAGCACTCTGAGCATAAACGATTTTTGAAATAAAACGGATTTTTGAACTGAGGTATCGAGCCTACAACTGAACACAGTGGGGAGGACTCAAACAGAAGGGTACACGACCTAAACACAACGAGGCACGCTCGAAAAAGACTCAAAACAAAGGTTGAGGTAACAAAAGACACGTCACGCAGACGCGTTAACGGAGACGGGGGACCTCAGATCACGAGGAGCTAGCTTCTCTGGGTATTGTTTCTCACCCTTTTCTCATTTGTGATTCTCACATCACTCTGGCACTCAAGCTCGTTTTTTTTTCTCTCATAACCCTTTGGCTCGCTTTTTCTCTCAATTTACACCTCTCTATTCTTTATTCTCTCATTTTTATCCCTCCCCGGGGTGTTTAATGGATGAATAGGGAGTTGCGGGTTCATGCCCAACGCCGTTAGCTCACAACTATTTCTTCTGGTGGGTAGAGTGCCCTCCTGGTGAGTATGTTGACGACGGGGGAAAGACAGAACACCTGACTCAACTGTGCCCCTAGTTCATCATTTTGACTATTTTTGTTTTGGTTTTTTACTAAAACAGTTTTGATCAAGATGAGAGTCGGATTAACGTACTTGTTCGATTTTTGATCTGAAAACCATGCAGGTCAAACTATGAGCACTGAAAATTTTCCTTTTTTGGGTCCCAGAAAATGGTCCAAGTTTTAATAAAATAATTTTCGAGAAAACTTGTCAACCTCAGTAAAAATTTTCAAAAACTATTTTGCAAACAGTCAATGCTCAACGAGCATGGAACTTACTCTTAGAGATGCGCAATCTCGAAGCGGGGGCAATGGAAAATTGCCCCTGGCTTGGAAGGGGTAGATGGCAACGGAAAGTTGCCCCTAGTTTGAATGGCGACTGTAGACGTCCCCGAACGCTCCCGGGAGGAACGAGCTCCCGTTCTGTTCATTTTGGGTTCACTACAGTTCAGACTCTCAAATTTGTCACGGTTCTTAGCCTGAACCAAAGAGTCCAAATCCGGCAAATCGTTTTGAGAAAACAGATTTTTTGAAAGAAGTGCCAAACATGGACTGCTTTTCCAGATACAGAGTCGCCACCTAAATGTTTTTTAATGGGAAATTTAGGAAACCCTGACTCGGTGCCAAAGGCCACGTGTCCGTCATCACCAAAGTTGCCTCGGCTCGGGAACTAGGGTACGATTGGGGAAGGTCACTTCGTGAGCACCCCCGCTCGCCCGATCAAAGATCGGCCTCTACTAACGTAACATTCACAGCATTTCCATTCAAAAAGTCTGGATCTTCGGTTACAGTGGACTCAAAGGAAAAACTAAAAGACGACTTGGACAGGACTTTGGTATCTGGGTTACCACTCCCAGAAGTACTAGACTCAGAGGAACTCAAATCTGACCCTGACTCCACAGACTCAGTGGAATCAAATCCGAACTCACTATCCTATCCAGAACTGTTGATGTTGCCTTGCTCAAACTTCCAGACCAGGCGTGGAGCCTTAGACATATCCACGATAAGATTGGAAAAATCTACTGCTAGGTTATCCTCAATCATTGAGATAGTAAAACTATCCCCAAAGTTGGTGGTCTCAGCTCCAGTAGTAGAACTTGTCAGCAAGTCAGCCAGCGCTTTTCCTAACAGCTCCTCCTCTTCGATATCCAGGTTTGCAGTTCTGCCTTGATCTGTGCTAGGGCTCAGGTCTACTTGTTCATCCTCATCTTCTGGTAGCTGGTGTCCAAAAAAGATCTCGAATCCCGGATACCTTGTTTTTGTTCCCCAGTCATACCAGGGCTCTGGGAATCCACAAAAGAGGAAGTCTTCCCCTTGGTGGACAAAACGTCCGTTCAAGGTTCCCTGTATTAGTTTGTGGACTAACTCGTACTGCCTCCCAGTCAGCTTTGCTTTCAGCCTCTCTCTTAATTCCTGTCTTAACATATGTATGATCAAATCTGTAGGTTTAAAGGGAGAAAGACGTGGGGTTGGAAGACATACAACACACACATGCACACTTATTACAGTTATGCCCTCGCGCAGAGGGTCCAAATAAATAATACAGTCCCGAATGAAAGAATATTACAGTCCAAATATTACAGTCCGAATATTATACAAATTCCTAATTAATTAACAAATTAACTAAGAAAATTAATAAAATTGGCATGCAAGCCAGGGACTGCCTTGCTTCTGATGGATGATGCATGTCCGGGTTGTCTTGCGCGGAAATCCACCGGGATGCCCCAATTAGCCTCTGTTTAGCAGTTATTCTTGAAAAGCGTGCCAAGTCCCGAAAAGTTGCTGATTCTTCATTTTGCTGCAACAGAGAGCAGGAAAGGGGCATAGCAATGTATTTTCACAAATATATGCATGCCTCGATCCTCATGCCACCAATCACGCATACCGAGGCATGATGGCCGAGGAGTCGAATTGCACAACGCACATAAAAACACAGCTAAAACCTAACTCCATCATGGATGATCCGGAGTGTCGGTGACTGGGGAATTGAGACGCATTCCGTCACTCGGAGTACGAAATGCACCTCGTTTCCCGTGCCCGGGCTAACTCCTATCCCGGACACGATGCAATATGCATGATATACATGAATGCAACTAAGATACAACCTAGTATGCACTATGCTATGAAAATGAGATGTCTCGAAATGCGTGCACACGGACACGCAAATCGAGAAAATGGCATACACAATGCAAATGACATGAAAATATGATATGGGCTTATACCAACATGAGAGAGCCTCAGCCACACTCACATAGGATGCCGATGAATGAAAATGAAGTGCCTCGAAATGCGTGCACACGGGCACGCAAACCGAGGCAATGGCATATGCAATGCAATGGCATGGAAATGGCATATGAAATGCAAAATGGACTTATACTAACATGAGAGAGCCTCAGCCATACTCACATAAGATGCCGATGAATGAAAGTGAAGTGCCTCGAAATGCGTGCACACGGGCACGCAAACCGAGGCAATGGCATATGCAATGCAATAGCATGGAAATGGCATATGAAATGCAAAATGGACTTATACTAACATGAGAGAGCCTCATCCATACTCACATAAGATGCCGATGGATGAAAATGAAGTGCCTCAAAATGCGTGCACACGGGCACGCAAACCGAGGCAATGGCATATGCAATGCAATGGCATGGAAATGGCATATGAAATGCAAAATGGACTTATACTAACACGAGAGAGCCTCAGCCATACTCACATAAGATGCCGATGGATGAAAATGAAGTGCCTCGAAATGTGTGCACACGGGCACGCAAACCGAGGCAATGGCATGTGCAATGCAATGGCATGTAAATGGCATATGAAATGCAAAATGGACTTATACTAACATGAGAGAGCCTCAGCCATACTCACATAAGATGTCGATGGATGAAAATGAAATGTCTCGAAATGCGTGCACACGGGCACGCAAACCGAGGCAATGGCATGGAAATGGCATATGAAATGCAAAATGGACTTATACTAACATGAGAGAGCCTCAGCCATACTCACATAAGATGCCGATGAATGAAAATGAAGTGCCTCGAAATGCGTGCACACGGGCACGCAAACCGAGGCAATGGCATACGCAATGCAATGGCATGGAAAATGGTATGCAAACATGCTAATGGAATTTAAGTACTGAGATGTGGGGGAAAACAGCCCCGAAATGAGGTGAAAGTACACCCGATGCATGGAGTTGTCCCGAAACACAAAATCAGGCACATAGAATGAACTACAGCTATACAAAGCATGCAAAATTGGTATATGGAATGTAAAGACAGAAGCAAGGCAGCCCCAAAATAAGCACATTTGCAGTTCGAAGCATGGCCAAACAGCAAGCAAAGATAGGGCAAAACTAGCATGCAAGAAATGGCCCTAAACATGAGATTAAGAAGCAACTCATAGCTGTTGGCCCCAAAAAGGTTTGGGTCCTTCAACAATGTTGAAGAGGGACCCAAAATATGATGTTTTACAGTTTATGGCAGGCCCCAAATCAATATACAAACATGCTAAAAAAACGGCACAAGATTGAGGCTCAAAAGGTGCTATAACATGAAGTATACAAAATAATCACCAAACAGAAAAAAAATGTTAATGAAACATGAAGTATAGGCCAAAATAAGGCCACTTTCAGTTCTATGGAAAAGCCAAAAACAGAAGCAAGGGGGGCTGCCAATTTATGCAAAAATGGAGGCCAAATAAGGGATATAACTACAAGTGGTACATGGAGGCATCAAATGGTGATGGGCCCTTCAACAATGTTGAAGAAGGGCCCAAAATAAGCACATTCATAGATTACATCATGCTCAAAAACAGATTACTCATGGGCCAAAAATAGCATGCAAGATTATGACATATAAGAGGATCAATGAAGCAAGTGCATCATGGAGGGCTCAAACAGGGTTGAGTCCTTAATGAAAAGTGAAAATGAGCTCAAAATAAGGCTACTTTCAGTTAGGGCCGGAGCTTGAAACAATAAGCATATAGGGCTTACAAATGGATCAAGAAAAAGGGTCAAAATAGGAGAAATGTCACTCACCCTTGAAGACCAAAGATTTTGTTGCTTCTTGGACCAAATTTGTTGCCTTTTAGCTGCTGGAATTCCTCCCCTTGCTGCTGAAATGGAGTGGTGGTGGTAGAGCTTGGTGGTGATGAAGAAAACAAGGTGTAGGACTTAGGGATTTTTAGGAAAATGAGAGAGATGGAGGGAGATTTGTGTCTTGAGCCTTGAAGAACAAAATTTCTAACCTCTAAACCTAATGCCACCAGCTGGTTATATGGACAAAAAAGGGGGAGTAAAGGAGGGGCAAAGGTGGGGGAAAAATAGGCAAGTTTTCCCCCACAAAATATCCCCCGGATTGGGATATTTTCTGGGGGAAACAGCTACACAGCTGTAAAGTGGATTTGGTGAGGAACATGGCCGGCCACCTTTTGGGCTTGCAGGTGGCCGGCCGGCCACCCCCCCTAGCCGGCCGGCTAGGGTCAAAAGGGTCAAGTTGGTTTAGTGGCCGGCCACCACATAATGGTGTCCTCCCATGTGCCCTCTTCACAACCCTGTGGTTCGAATTTGGAAACTCTAAAACAGGAGAGAGAACAAGCCATTTTGAGGAGGGGTTCAAAAGGTTCAAATGGAATTAATGGCCGGCCATAAACTTTTAGGGTCCTCCCATGTGTGTACATCACAAATATGTGGTTTGGGGTTGAAGAAAATGGCTCCAAGGTGTTCAACATTGGCTCGGAAGCGCGAAAAACGGGCGTCGGAGGGCGAAAATGGAATATAACTGGTTACCGAGATAATCGCTGGCCTCCCACCCTCCAGTGACCTTCTTGGTGATAAAACAGAGTCACTTGCCAAAGATGAACGAAAACCGATGCAAAACGAATGCTCGGGGGTCGAAACACGCAGTTCGGGGTCCCGAAAATTGCCTGTTAAGCACCGAAAGTGGCGTTCGGCCATGAAGTGGGTCTCTCAGACCCCAGTGTCCCTCAAAAGGGAGGAAATAAGATGTATGCCGAAATTCAGAGCGAACAGAGATGGTTAGGCGGTCCCGAACCGAGGCACACGGCCAACGGTCCCGAAAAAAACCGGAAACCGGGCTCCGAAATGGGCAAAATGGCCTACGACCATAAAACGTAGCCCACGGCCACTGAGAGATGGTCCACGGGACCTCTCCCTCCCCTCAGGAAAAGAAACAGAGAAAACCGAGTCTGGTTCGCAAACCGAGACAAGGCACAGAAGAGGGTTAGGAAGTCCGGAGGCAGGACTCATGGCCGCGACTCTGAGACTTCTGAACGAGCGCGATATGCAACGTCACCGAGCGCTCAATCGGTGATGTCTGAGTCTTAAGGTCGGTCAAAAATGGGGTGTCTACAGCGACTCACGACGACTCGTGGCAACAGAAAGTTGCCCTTTGTTTGGATGGTGCCGCAGCAGTCCGCAAACAGTCTTCATTGGTGGTGGTCGAACTCTTGGACACAGAGATGACGAAGACGGTTATAACAAATATATGGACACAGTAACCTTGGAAGGTGTTGGCGACTAGACTTTGGGATGAAGTCGAAACCATTGTATGGACCAAGAAAGCATTGCCTTGGAAAGATGTAGCCA